CGTAGAGGCCCGTAGGGTTATGAGACGTCGAAGCTCCAACATTTTCTAGAAAATCGGCTCACAGATGGCGGTGAGGTTGTCCGCCTTACGCGCCGGCCGCTCTTTACCCCTAGGAAGATTCCTGGTACTCATTTCTGTTAGAGGCTCAGTCGACCGTGGGCCATAGTACGGCTGGAAGGATTAGGCCGATTTAAAAATTCAATGACATCGGGAATCGAACCCGCGACCTTCCGACTTGACGCATATTGTCTGAACCAACTACGCCACCGCGTGCCCCCACAGACAGATAGTATTACATGATAATCAAAACAACATCTGGACTTGCGTCATTGTGAACAAAAAGATAGTGCTTTCGAAAATCGAGTACAAGTTTACGTGTTTCGTTATCAGTGTTTATCTGGTGACCAGTGGGAAGTGAATCTGATGCAGATGTTGTATAACCATCGTGATCCTTGCTGTGTGAGACCGAGAGCAGTATTACATTTCACAGGCAAATTGCATGCTATCAATGAATAGTAACAATCAAAAACCTGAACCAGTTAACATCAAAAGGAAGCAATATGTACCCGGCAAGAGGGGTGAATAGCGACACAGACAAATGGATAAAGGACAGGCTGGATAAACGGCGGAACACACATTCGCATGGCGCGAGCACACTCAAACGCTAATCCGAATGCCAAGTCACTATATAGCAGATCATCCTGTCTTCATACCCACAAATGCTATGAACAGTACTGACAACAGTCTATACAAGTGATCACTGCATGAAATATTCATAAAACTAAGGTGAAACTATCCCTGTAAAATGCCGTGGAGGCCCACAGGGTTGTGAGACGTCGAGGACAGACATTCGACTCATAGACGGTGGTGAGGTAGTCAGCCTTACGCGCCGGCCGCCCTTTACCCCCAGGGAGATTCCTGGTACTCATTTCTGTTAGAGGCTGAGTAGAACCCAGGGCTATAGTGCGGCCGGAAGAATGAAGCCAATTGAAAAAATCCATCTCATCGGGACTCGTACGAGCGACCTTCCGAATTGTAGCATATTGCCTCAACCAAACATGCTACCGTGCGCCCTGTATTCTGTAGCTGAACATCGAAATCTTGGAAGTCCCATAAATTTCGAATTGTTTCATCTTCGTTCTATCTGAAACAGCTCAAGAGCAAATATTCCAAGAAGAATGAGATGGGCAAGACATGAAGCACGTGTGTAGGGAACTGTAAAATTAACATACCGCTTTAAAAAGAAAACGTGGGGAGAATGTACCATTTTGGAGGTCTAGACACCGATGGGAAGATAATACTGTCACGTGATTGTGACTACACTTCACATATCACTATCACACAGACTAGTATTTTTAGTCACGGTCTTCACTGAGCTGCTTAGTAACGTCTTCCAAGGGCGGACGTTCTTCCGTTCCCGGGCTCACGTCCTCGCAGGCTGGCGGCCTTCTCACACTAACTTCCTCCTGTTCTAACTGCCGTGTCAAGACTGTCCCATAACGGCAGCTGGTCGTTATATACCCTCGGCATGGACCGCACAGAAAACCCCACTTCCGATTACTTTTCTATTGTTGCTTGAGCGTCTCTTGCGGCGATCACGTGACGACTACTGAATCCAATCATCCAATCCAGAACCCTCTATTATTAGCCGCGCAATCCCCTCATACGTGACATGTTTACGTAACTTATCAGATTAAGGCATAACAGTGGGCAGAAATTATTCACACAGTAAAACAAAACGGGCAAACAGTCAACAGTTCTATACTGACTACAAAACTAAATGACTTTCTTTATTTTTCTATATCATGTTGCTGTCTTTCTATTTCTTTCATGTTTGTTTGGTCTGTCGGTGTATTCTGTACACGGGGCTATTGATGATTACTCGAAGTACTCATATTGAGGTCTCGTGAAAATCGATAGTTGAGTCGCCAATAGCAACCAATGAATAAGCACAGACATGTTCAAGCATTTATTGGCAACGGTTAGTAGAGTAAGGTCCTTGAACAATGTTTCACGAAATAGAACTATAATTGCAATGTCACCAGCGGATCGAACATCATTTCGTGAATAAGATCTGAAAGTTTGTGACGATGGTACACTGGTACAAATTGTGGTTTTGTCTCTATCTAAACATCATCCTGTTTATTTTTTAAAAACACAACGTTTCGGAGACTGGATTCTGTCTCCGTCTTCAGGTGACACCTACTCACTTGGGCCAAATAGATAGAGCTAGTCCCTATCTCCGGTCCGGAGATTTCATTTCGTGAACTCCACCGTTCGAGGAGTTAAAGAGTACACATTCAATCCATCACTTTCGTACTTCTGCAGAACCAATTAGGTGCTACAATTTCGTAGGTTATTGTTCCCCATATTCACTGTCTTCAGACTATAAAGGGTCGAATGGTCGGAAAAATAGATTTGGAAAGAGGCGGTTGTGGCCTGAAGTACGATGCCGACAACTGCCTGGAGGAACCGAGGAAAATCAAGAAATACCGTAGTGAGGATAGATGATGTCGCAAGAGATCCGAATCGAAACCCTCACGAATATGAGTCTCAAGTTTAAGTGTTATTAAATAATTAATAAGCGATTAAAGAGACGCGTGTAAGGCACGCGAAAAGTATCTGCTCGGTTATAGCAAAGTTCGTCGATGTATCGAAAGCGACCGATCTTAAACCATTTTATCGACTTGCTACTTTACATAAAGTAGCCCTGAGCTTAATTAATTAAGCATCGTGCTTTGAACACGTAAGGGGGAGTGGAGGTACAGTTTCCCACCATTCTTAACAGCCTCTGGGACCTATCGTATAGGAGGCTGGGTGGGCACCAGAGCTGCTCTGGTCTCCGTTGACAAAAGAAAAATCTTTTGTCCCTAGGAGCCGTTGTATTTACGTCATTGTTCTATAGATATTTCCTTAGCCCTCCACTCGAGCTACATATGTAGTCCACGATAACCGCCCTGGCCTAACCACTCGAACATTACTAGGTTACCTAAATCGTGAAATCAAACCAACAGCCCCAGTTAACGTACATAATAGTACAATGAAACATTCTTTCTTCTATTTGTCGAAAAAAGCACTCAGACAAATTACGATCTGTACAGCGGAACTCGCTGGGATAGCGCAGTTGATATAGCGACTCGCTATTGGCTGGACGACCGAGGGGTCGGAGTTAGAGTCCCGGTGGGGTCAAGAATTTTCACATCTCCAAGTCCATTAGACCTGCTCTGATGTACACCCAACCTCCGATGTAATGGGTACTGGGGGCTCTTTTTCCGGCGATAGAGAGGCCGGAGGCGTGAAGCTGATCACTCATCTAACTAGTGGCGAGATCAAGAAAATGCGGATCTATACATCCACTCTCCCATACGCCTTCATGGCATAGTGCTTAATTAGTTAAACACAAGGACAACTTTACCTTGCTCTACGAGTACTTCATTGGAACTCTTCAGTGTTGAAATCAGAGATAATAAATAACATTTTCACGGACACTAAGATCATATATTAAACTGGAGAATGTCGTCTCCTGGGATGTGGCGCCGTGTAGATCTTATATGAACCAACGATTAGGAGTAACGTATCGCCTCCATCTTCAGGGTAGAAAAATCCGCGAGCGAGGAACCAGACTGGCCCAGTCTGCAGCCACCTGCTCATGTTGGTTCCTCATTTGTGGGTTTTCTACACTGCAGATGGAGGCGATAGATTCCTACGAAACGTCGATTCATACAAGATCTACAGGGCGCCACACCCCAGAAGATGGCATTCTTCATAGTCACCGCCGTGAAAGCCTCAGACCTTACATCTATTAACCTTTTTTTAAGAATTCCTATCACCTGTCAAACGCATGGTTCTCGAACATAAACCGATTTAACTTATCGATTTACTATTTTAAAGGCGACGTGAAGGAACTGGGTACAAAAAAAAAGTATATTCCCACATGAATTCGATCTCTCGCATGAAACGAGTATGTAAAAACGAAATGCAGGAATACTTCTACCTGGAATACTTTAGAGTAGGCAATAAAGCTGAAGCAGACACTTATGAGAATAAAGACGAAGCAACGAAGCAATAAAACATCCCTGAACTCAAGACCATAAAAATAACAATAATCCAAAATCCAACATATATATAATAAAAATAAACTGTGAAAACATAACGTGGGTGCATTTTGAAAAAATAAATTGGCTCCGAAAAAATCGCTATTCATTATAAAAACAGTTAAAATAAAAAAAACACGAGTTGACAGAGAAAACTCGAAAAATGTTCAGACAAAAATAAATGTTATGCATGCAATATGAACAGAGCGAATTCTGAAATCGATTGCAGTTTCAAATGATGTTTAGCGTCAAAAGGAACCACACAAACTTCTGACATGACAAAGAAATAACGTGACAACCGGTTCTCACGGTCTCTTCCCTTGCAGATTTCTTATATTTTTTCTTCTACCCTGAAGATGGAGGCGATACGTTCCTCCGAAACGTCGGTTAACACCACATATACACGGTGCCAAATCCCAGAAGACTGCTTTCTTCATAGTCACCGCCGTGAAAGCCTCAAATCTTACACTGAGTTACTCTGTTTGTTAAAATTAAAAGAGAAAAAAAGCAAAAAAAAAAAATGCCTAGAAATTAACCTTTTCAAAGTAAGTAATCCCTTTTTATTGTCAATCTTCACGTTTCATTTTGATATAATAATTGTGGAGACGGGCACAACCCATCCACGTTTCAGCACACGTTCGCCTAAAACAGTTACTGCTGCTAAATAAATAAAACTCACACAGTTTGAATCCTTTCTTTAAAAAAAATTATTCGCGGTATATTTGTACAGCACACATGGAGGTGGGCAGAGGGGCAACTCCCCGCTGCACCCCCCGCAGTTGTGATACGCAGGCGCCTGGATTGCACCGGCGCTCTGAGACGCCATACGGCGTCAACCCGTCCTCCACCCCCAACAGACACGTCCAGATATACCCTCTCTCCTATACACCACACAGTGACGGGGGGAGGAAGGTGGCTTCCTCGCGAGGACACCGTGGAGAAACTTCATCCACCTGTCCTCCAAGTAGCTCTGGAACTCGGCAGCCGCGTAGTGAAGCGCGTGTTTCCAACAGTTATTCACAGACGCTACTGCAGGACAATTTGGCTTCAACGTTAACATTTGTGTCACAGACTTGTGTTATTTCTTGATGAGGCATAGTCTGGGCAGGCGGCGTGAGACCAACTTTATAAAATGTATAGAATATTAACTTCCACAGCAAACAACTTAATTAAATTTAAAAAAATACGGATGTCAGCGCCGAATCTTTTGAAATTATACAACAAATTCCATGCATGGCATTGTTAAAACAATAATAACTATTTCAGATAAGCAGATAACTACACATTTACCCGTGATATTATTCAAATTCACACGAAAGTCCGATTACTGCTCATTATAGAAAACAATGAAGCGGAGAGGGGGAAGCATTGTCAGGAGTGCACAATGACTGAAGTACTTTTATACAACGTTGCCAGCAACGACTGCTACGTAGATGAGGACACAATTCTTGCTGACCCAAGTGTAGGTACAACCAACGAAACCGATACCAGTGCGAACACGGTCTACCAGTGGAGTGTTAATATTAGTGTTAACGTGAGTGATGTCAGTGCTGAGGATGTTACGAATATTAATAATTGGTGGGCACTATTAGCGCTTGCATTAGTGCTGGGTACGGCGGCAGGGAATATATTAGTGTGCCTAGCCATCACTTGGGAAAGGCGACTGCAGAATGTCACCAACTATTTCCTTATGTCGCTAGCCATTACAGACCTCATGGTCGCCGTGCTAGTTATGCCGCTAGGAATACTAACACTCGTCAGAGGTAAGACTTAACAATCCTGGTGTGACACGCTTCAAGGAATTCTTAAGCCAGAATTAAAGTAAAACGATTTCGTACATGAAATCTAGTTCACGTCTGCTAAGTGCAAAATGAGAAACAGTTCGTTGAAAAGTTACAAATAATTTTGTAAAAAAAAAATTATACGACTTTTGACTGAAGTATCGATTGTGGATGTGTAGGAAATTACAAAACATAATGGCATACCTCACAACAACGTTTATTTAAAAAAAAATAAATTTCAAATTATTTCGAAAATTCGTCTGCGCTTGCTGCCTACGGATGAACAATGTACAGCTAAGAGCAGCATTCGCATTTGCGGAAAGTAGCAATGCCTGAGATGCTATGAGAACTACAGTTACTCGTAATAATGAACAGATTTCGGGCGACATAAACATAAATACAGAGTACGTGACGCTATGGAAAAGCGTTCATTTTACCAAATAACGCAGAAAATCGGGCGCTGAATGCCCTTTTGAGGAAATGGCTTACCAATTCCATAAAGCGTGTCTGGTTTTTCAGAACAGCATAGATGCTCTCAATACATGTTAGATGTGAAAGCTTACAAGTCAACATATAAATCACAGTATTCTAAGCTACTACAGTTTTATGCTTAGTTCTAAGGCGGTATTCTAGCGTCCCGTCATGGTGACTTTCATATAACGTATTACTGAGTGGAGTATATGTAATCATTATAACGTTTCGATGAAGCAATCATTTTGGGCATACATGGACTGCAGCATTTAGCGCCATCTCTACAGGTAAATGCAACACAGAAAACCAAATATAGAAATGTTTATAATATGTAATTCTTACGTAAAAATTACGTGTTGCTTCTTGTTGTGTGTCATTCAAAGTGGCGTATTCGTATCCGTCACCATAACAATTCAGGTAAAATTAATGTTTACATCAATCACATGTTTCGACCCCTATTGGGTCATCATCACGCACTTAGACGCTGAATTTTTGTTCAATTCAATTTAAACGGGATAACACGACCATAATTTGCTTTGAGATATATTGAGAAATTAAAAAGCAGAACACCGACTACCAGGAAGGCCCCATACAGCACATCATACACTATCACGTCACGGAAAATAATCAGATGAATTGCAAATTTTCAGTTTTATGTTAAATATAATTTTCTTTTTAAATTAAATGTACATTTTTATAATTTTAAATTTGACAATTAAAATTATTACGCAAACCGAACGAGAACAAATTTATATATCACTGATTTGGATCCATATCGGTAAACACTCCAATAACGAGTGACGTATACATGTAATGATCGCCTGATGATGACCCGACAAGGTCGAAACATGTAGCTATACTTCCAGACAATAAACGAATATTAATACAGTAGTATTGGTTTGTTTATCAGAGAATTGTTGTGTTGACGGATATATTAAGCACATCATATATGGAGAAGTTAGTTCTGTTTATTCCAAACATATTTCTGTGACCAATCCGCCATTCAAAACATCCCTGCCAACGTGCCGAGAAGTCCAAAATAAAAACTTACCCGGAATTAAGAGACGAAAGGAATTAGGAACGTCATGTTCCAGCTCTGGTATAAAAACAGATTCTTAAAACAAGCTTCTTTTCACATTCCAAGGTTCTAACACCGGAGAATATGAAGATAGGTCTTGTGGAATGTGACGGCCTGTAGCTTCTACCCTGAAGATGGAAGCAGTAGGATGCTCTACTAGTGCCCATCTGCCAAGCTAGACGGCATTACATCAAGGACTGTCGAAATCTTTTCGTTTTCAGTCTGGTTCAATCCCGCTGAAAATGTGACATCTTGGAATATCGATCAACAAACAGAACTACGTATATTTAGGATACGTTAGAAAATTAAGCTTTTCTTTTGCGGTTTGATGGGCGTTCTGACATCTTCCAATAAGATGACAAATGGCCACATTTTTGTATCGTTCTGCGGCAATCAGTGAACACTGTCGAACGGGCATAAGTGGAAGAGTAGACGAAAAACGATTTCTTAACCTTTTCTTTCGCCCTTTCTCAGTCCATTAGTCTCTCCTCGCAAGAGATTATGTGAAGAACAAATTGCAGTCATCAAAAGTGACGTCACTCCAAGTCACAGAATGAATAATCATATTGGATGCAACGCCAGAGTGAGCGCACGGTTCTACAAATGGAGCTCATAAGGAAATATGTACTCAAAATTAATAAGAACTGCCATTGTTATTTGCCTATATAATTTCATCGGACAGGTTAACAAACAAATACGCAACATCTGTGCTTGAGAATCTTCGCACACGCACACTGTAACGAGTTTATGGATCCGTGACTAATAATAACGGGTTCTGGAATGGATGGTTGGATTTACTAACACCTTCTTGTACCGTCTCCCTAATCACAATCAGTTACAGTAACTCACAACCAATCTTCAGCAGAACCCTTCTTCCTTGACAGCCGAGGACGCGCTCCATTCTCGTTCTCGCTCTACGACTGACTTGATTCTGTTCTGCACCACTTATATTGTCTCGAGGCGGACCCATAGAAAACACATCCGTTGCCCAGCAATACGCGAACTACACAGAACACATTTTCCTCTATTGTTGTATGTAGAGAGAGCTGCATAGCAACAGAAGTTATCCGATTGTTGCCTCCGTATTTGTTGACGCGGGAATGTGTTTACCGAGTTGTTGCCCAGCAACGGCTCTACGTGTCGCAATATCACAGATCATTAACATCATCAAAGTTTCGCTGTAAATCCGTAATGTTTTAAAACATAGTACTACGAAGGACAGTGAAGTGACAGGTGCGACCTGGGGTACAAGATGCCCAAATATATGCTGTACATTACTGATACATAAACGCAATGTTAATGTTAAACGTATCCGAGTGGCATAAAAGCGTGCTCAGAACAACTGCGGTGGAAATGCATGCTCCAGTGCAGAACGATGCTCAATTGTAAGCAATTACTCAAAAGATCGGACCTAGTCATCTGCACACAGAAACAATATATACAACTAGATTTTAATATTTTTAATTTAAATCGCTGCATGACCTTAACATGACCTTAACTGTCAACAGTAATAAATATCTGGTCATAAGCCCCAGATGGCGCTAGACACCAAGACTTGCTGACTGACTGACCGTCGGTCGCAATGTGATTTTGACTTTGACTTTACACCAAGAGTAGTGGATTAGTGTAGTGTGGTCAGAAGCCGAGTGTGTCCAGTCAAAGGTAGTAATTTTGTCAAGTGCAACAAATTGTATAAGGGTCCAATAAAGTCGATCATCAAATCCAAAACACGTTTTATAAGTCAAGCAAACACGATCAAAAGCTCAGTAAAACAACGGATAAAATTTCTCAAGATAGCGTAGGGTTGACGCCGAAACATATATTTTTTATTACTAAAATAAAGCTATTGTTTGAATGTGACTTGAGCGCGTATTTTATTTTGTATTTGATGTTATCACAGTGGTTAAGTTTTATGATTGTGAATTTCTGAGATATGAAACTTCATCTTCAAGAAGAAATTAGTCTCAAATGTTAGTAACCATTTACCAAGCAACGCGATTCCATAACTAAGAGGACCACTATCTAGCCCGAAAGTAATTTATAAGTGCTAGTCCAGGGCTTCAACCCTGATAGTCACTAAACACGAAGCAATTTCGATATTTTTCTTTTTAAACACCTGATACGGGATTATTTTCACTCCCAGAGTAGCCCTAACATTGTGCAATGGCGATAAAGATGATATGAGCTAAGCATTTCATAAGCAAGTACTACGTCATACTGAGTTATCAGTTTTAGAACAGGTGACTATAACCTTCTCCAGGTCAGGGGGTGGCCATTACAAACGCTCATGTCCAAGGAAAATGCGTGTATCGATTTCTGTAACACGAAAGTTAAACAGCTAAATAAAATATTTCTAGCATCCTCTGCCTACTTTTCCCTAAGCAATGGAAGCAGACTTATGAGATCACCATTCTATGACTCCACAAATTTCAACAACTGAACCAGTTCTCTGATTTTCACGAAATTTGGTATTGGCGTTGTGTAATTGGAGGACATAGTTGCTACAACAGTGTGAGGTGGGAACGACCTTCGTGCCACTCAATCAGGGCCCCTCAAACTGTGTACGTTAAAACACTTTCGAAACATAAAGGTTCTTTTCTTTGTTGAAAGCGAACCAACAAAATGGAGACCGCATGGAATTCACGATCAGTAATCCATTCGAGCCAAGAATGTGAAATCAGGCACGGAGCCAGCTCATCAACACAATGTTGTCACAGTCAGAGTTGTTTCAGGATATATCTGACAAATGTATCACACTTAAAATGTTAAATCCTAAGTAATACGTTCTTATAAATCTAACGCCGATTATGTTAATAATGATGATGATAATTATAATGTTTTTTTTTGTTTATATTGTGACACCGCCAGAAGCTAGAACTATATAGCTTCAAACTGTTGCATCATGGAAAGGATACTGAAGGAAGCGGTTATGGTTTAATCTAAGCAGCGTCCTAGCATTTGCCTGGATATACTAGGGAAATCAAAAAGTCATAATATTCGGTGCCCCGGTCAAAATTCGAACATATCATCTCCGGAATATAAGTACACAGCGTTACTGCTATACCAGCCTCCTCATTAGTGATAGCAGCAGCAATAGTAGTAGTTGTAGTAATACATTTACAATTACAAGTAATAATATTTGACTCGACTAAAATTAGATATCGTGACACTTCAGCACGCGTCCAGGGCCCATGACGTAAGATACTAGCAACGTGTGGTCTGCATGACTGGAAATCTGACAGAGGAGCGCAGAGTTGATGAATTCTACTTAGGAATGCGTCTTCAGTTAATGTCTCATCATGACAGTAAATGAATCACTCAGAATGAAACGCATGAATGTTTCAAATGCAATTCATTCGCGCGTCAGGTTAACCACTTTCTCATCAAAACTGAATCATCCGACCTCATCACACTAACATCCAATATCACACTA